ACTCACTCTGTCCAAATGCAACAAGAATCTGTATTTTAAAAATCAGAACCCTCTACTTCAGTCTAGATGTGGCCAAAAAAAAAGTTTTGGAGCTCTCTAAAATGGGATCTAGTTTAGGAAGAAAAATAATAATACCAGGGACCCTCTCCCTACCTTTAGTCCTTTCTCACATGCTGTCCAGAGGAAACATGGCTGGAGCCCCAGAGCAGTTCGAGATGTTTTGGGTGTGTTTGCTGTTATAATGTGATTGTGAACCATTAGCAATGCCTATCTAGCTATTATTAAAGAGCCAGCCCCTCACTGTCCTGGGGGACAGGAGACACCTGGGGAATCAGTGTATTGTCTGATGCCACCTGAAACTGTACTTAAGGCCTTCTGTGTTTGTTGTGGTTCCAAGCACTAGCCAAGAGGTGAGCCTCCTAGACCTTGGAGAACCAGAGATCAGCAGTGGAATACAGTGGGTCAGATTAATGGACTTCAAAGTAAGAACACTAAAGATAGGGAAATGCATTTACTCCAGCGATTAGACACTTAAACAAGTGAAATTAAATGCAAAATAAACGTTTGTATGGTATCAAACAAATAAAACAAGCCCATGTCCACCTGTCATCAGTAAGTCCATTCCATGCTTATGCTACTGGTTAACTATTCTCACTTGAGTCAAGGACCTAGTGAATACTCCTGATGGGTTACATTTCTGACTGAGGTCACTGCCACAGCAATCTTTGTTAACCAGAACACAGATACATTCACCCAAAAGTGATGGTCATTCCTATTGTGACTCTGATTTTAGCACTTATCTGAACTCAAACTAAGTTCTTCAAAAAGTATGCTTTTTTTCTGTCAGCATTTCAGCCACCTTGACAAATAAACATCTTTTTTTTTAAATTATGCTTGAGGTGAAAGTTTACAACTCAATTTCTCGTACAAAAATTTATACACACATTGTTATGTGATCCTAGTTGTTATCCCTACAATGTGACCACACATTCCTTCTTTCCACCCCAATTTCCTGTGTTCATTCAACTAGCTCCTGTCCCTTTTGCCTTCTCATCTCACCTCCGGACAGGAGCTGCTCATTTAGTCTCATGTATCTACATGAACTAAGCAGCACACTCTTCACACGTATCATTTTATGTCTTATAGTCCAGTCTATTCTTTGTCTGAAGAATTGGCTTCAGGAATGGTTTTAGTTCTGGGTTAACAGCGTCCAGGGGCCATATCTTCTGAGGTTCTCCCAGTCTCAATCAGACCATTAAGTCTGGTCTTTTTACTAGAATTTGAGTTCTGCACCTCACTTTTCTCCTGTGCCATCAGGGACTCTCTGTTGTGTTCCCCGTCAAGGTAGTCATTGGTGGTAGCCGGGCACCATCCATTTCTTCTGGTCTCTGGTTTATGTGGTCCCTTTTGTCTCCTGAGCTAATATGTTCTTGTATCTTTGGTGTTCTTCATTCTTTGCTCCAGGTGGGCTGGGACCAATTGGTGCATCTTAGATGGCCACTCCGTAGCTTTTAAGACCCCAGATGCCACTCACCAGAGTGGGATGCAGAACATTCTAATAAACTTTGTTATGCCAATTGACCTAGATGCCTCCTGAAACCATGGTCCCCAGACCCCTGCACCTGCTACACTGTCCCTCAAAGTGTTTGGTTGTGTTCAGGAAACTTAACTTTTGGTTTAGTCCAGTTGTGCTGACTTTCCCTGTATTGTGTGTTGTCCTTCCCTTCACCTAATTCTTATCTACTATCTAGTTAGTGAATTCCCCTCTCCCTTCCTCCCCACCTTCATAACCATCAAAGAATGTTTTCTTCTGTGTTCAAACCTTTTGAGTTCTAATAATAGTGGTCTCACACAATATTTGTCCTTTTGAAATTGACTAATTTCATTCAGTATAATGCCTTCCAGATTCATCCATGTTGTTTCGTGGATTTGTTGTTCTTTATTGTTGCCTAGTATTCTATTGTGTGAATATACCATAATCTGTTTATCCATTCATCTGTTGATGGACACCTAGGTTGTTTCCACCTTGCTGCTATTGTGAACAGTGCTGCACTGAACATGGGTGTGCATGTATCTATTCGTGTGACAGCTCTTATTTCTCTAGGATATATTCCAAGGAGTGGGATTGCTGGATTGTATGGTACTTCTATTTCTAGCTTTTTAAGGAAGCGCCACATTGATTTCCAATGTTGTACCATTTTACATTCCCACCAGCAGTGTGTAAGTGTTCCAGTCTCTCCACAACCTCTCCAACATTTGTTTGATTAATGCTAGCCTTGCTGGGGTGAGATGGTATCTCACTGTAGTTTTGATTTGCGTTTCTCTAATGGCTAATGATCGTGAGCATTTCCTCACGTATCTGTTAGCTGCCTGAATGTCTTCTTTGGCGAAGTGCCTGTTCATATCCTTTATCCATTTTTTAATTGGGTTGTCTTTTTGTTGTTGAGGTTTTGCAGTATCTTGTAGATTTTAGAGATTATATGTTGATCGGATTTGTCATACCCAAAAATTTTTTCCCAGTCTGTAGGTTGTCTTTTTGCTCTTTTGGTGAAGTCTTTTGATGAGCTTAAGTGTTTGATTTTTAGGAGCTCCCAGTTATCTAGTTTCTCTTCTGGTGTTTGTGCATTGTTAGTTATGTTTTGTATTTTGTTTATGCCAAGTATTAGGACTCCTAGTGTTGTCCCTATTTTTTCTTCCATGATCTTTATAGTTTTTGATTTTATATTTGTCTTTGATCCATTTTGAGTTAGTTTTTGTGCATGGTATGAGGTATGGGTCTTGTTTCATTTTTTTGCAGATGGATATCTAGTTATGCCAGCACCATTTGTTAAAGAGAATGTCTTTTCCCCATTTAACAGACTTTGGGCCTTTGTCAAATATCAGCTGCTCACAGGTGGTTGAGTTACATCTGGCTTCTCAATTCTGTTCCATTGGTCTATGTATCTGTTGTTGTACCAGTACAAGGCTGTTTTAACTACTGTAGCAGTATAATAGCTTCTAAAATCAGGTAGTGTGATGTCTCCCACTTTGTTCTTCTTGACACATAAACATTTCTTTGGATTCTTAACTCTTTCTCATAGGTCTTCCCTCCATCACTCTTTAAGTCCGTGAAGAAAAAAGCTATACAAATTTAATTCCTACTCACCCTACTTCCTTCCTTATTTTCTATAATTGACCACAAAACTTAAGGTTTTACCTCAGAGAAAGGATTCGAACAGGTTAAGGTTCAAACTTTTGCTGATAATTTTGCATTTCTAACGAGTTCCCAGGTGATGCCAATGCTCCTGGTTAGGGACCAATTCTGAGAACCACTAGCAGAGCAGTGGTTCTCAAAATTTATTATACGTAAGAATTACTTGGGGATCTTGTTAAAATGTAGATTCTGATTCAGTATATCTGGGGCGGAAATGCAAATTTCAGCAGGGGTTCTAACAGGAACAAACCGGTTCAAAGCCCAGGATTCTACCTATCCATCCTGTTCTGTCACAAGATGTTAAAAATGGTGGAAAACTTTATTCCCACCCCAACCCTGGTAGACCATATGACTACAAATTCCCACGTTTTTACTCTAAAGTAATGGTGAGAACAAAGAGTTCATGCCTGGCAAGAGTGTAGCATGGGAACTTAGATATAGTCCCCGAATTCCTTCAAATTGCCCATTTCATGTGATTTTAGCTTAATTAAATTTGCATAACTAAAAAATACATAATTGACCACATTTAATTTCAATACAATCAGTAATCAATCCATGAATTCTAACTGATTACTTTAAGTGCAACTAGCTACTTGGGGTGGAGGTAGGGGGAGAAGAGTTCAAAAAAATAGACTATAAATTAATACTCTGGTGACCCGTGTAAGTGATGTAAGTCTAACTGCACAGAGAACACACATCTTTCAAAAAAAAAGGCCAACAAAGCCTACATTTTTTATTTAATCAACCAGTATTTCTGATTCTCTCCCTGATGTTGGATGTCAAAACCTTCAGAGTCCACAAATTCAGCATTCAAACTTCCTAATCCACACAGAAAAGGGCCCAGATCTGGGAGGTCCAGACTCAAGCTGTTTTTATTGTGGCAAAGTGGGCAGAGATTTCTCTGCGACTGTCTGTCAGTTTTCAATCTTACTGAAATGCCCTTAAGCTCTCTATCACCCCTAAATGTTTTTCTATGGCATCTAACCTATGACAGAAAAACACTTATTTCTCATCTACACAACTCCATTGATTACACAGGCACCAGCCATACTTTTTGTTTAGCCAAAAAGTGGATTTCCAGTTCTGTTTAACGGCAAGGAGATGTGCACAACTGTGACGACAGTGTCCTGGCTCTACCTCAGATGAACTCGGCTGGTTTTACTGAATGTAAGTATTTCCGTATTTCCCATGGTACAAGGAAATAAATGAGCTCTTGCCTCGTGAGTAGTATAAGAGCTGCTTCCAAGAATCCAGAGATGCCCACATCCCATATACTACCCAGATGTGGCCAATTCCTCATGGCACAGCTATGTGGGAAGAATAACCCTTTTGTCAACTTTTTTTTTAGGGGGGAGAGGGGGTGTACTTGGGGGAAGATGTGGGATGGATTTTTTTTTTATTCGCCACCCACAACACACACTCAGACACACATACATATCCACTTTCAAGAAAGTTCTTCCTTCCTATGACTACAGGACCCCAGAATCCAGCCTCCCCAGGCTAGGAGACAATGCCTGTTAACTGCACATATCTAGTGATCAACATACTGTATGAGGCTCTATGTTCTCACAAGCTGAGGGAGCAGGCACAAAAGGACTGGATACTCATATGGGATTTGCTTGTCTTAAATCCAACCTACTCAGCAACACTGTTAGGCCCAGGGGTCGGGACAGGTTCTAAGGGCACAGTATGGTGGATGACTTGATGATCCCAGCCCACTGTGGTAAGGAGGGAGTGATTGAGCAGGGACCAAGTAGCATCTCTCACAAAGTCTCTGTGGGCTCGGCTTCTAAACCTAGAAGAGAAAAAGAAGTTTGGGCGCGGTATAAACGAGAAAAAAGCACGCCTATAGAAGAAAGCAAACCCAACACATCTGGGGTATATTTCTGTGGTGTTTTATACACATTTCACTGTGTGTATGGCCTCGTCACCAGGATAACAATGTAGCTATCCACAATGGACTGCATCAATTATCCAATCCAGCCCTCTATTTTCAGAGATGAAGAAATGGTGGCTAGAGTGAGGTTAGTGATATATGGGCCAGGATCATGCAGCAAATCATGACAAAGATGGAGTATAATTCAGGTCACCTGCCCAGTGCCTTTTACCCTACTCATACCCATTGCTGTTGAGTCGATTCCGACTCATAGCGACCCTACAGGACAGAGCAGAGCCACTCCATAGGGTTTCCAAGGCTGTAAGTCTTTATGGAAGCAGACTGCCACATCTTTCTCCAGTGGAGCGGCTGGTGGGTTCGAACAGCCAACCTTTCAGTTACCAGCTGAGTGCTTAACCACTACGCCACCAAGGCTCCTTTTTACCCTACAGCAGGTTGCATTTCACATATGTGGTTTTTTATGTGAACAGGGTAGACTGTCCCCTTCTAGGAGAGAGCTGGAATGCTAGACTCAGAAAGTCCACCACTGCCGACATTCCTCCTCTAACAAGGACATAGCTGATTGTGAGTCATCCCCAGGAACAGGGAGATGGTTAACAGTCTGTGTTGCTTCCATCACCCAATCCCCGCATGTGCAGATGGAAGATTCTCCCTCCAAGAGAAAGCACTTCACTGAAGGGAAAACAGACCCAGCCACCTGCTGTTGTCCCCAATTCCTGATCACAGGATTCCACTTCACACTTACACCTCGGAAAGGCCTGAGTCCAGCACGGCAAGTGAGCAGTCTTCACTGATAGAGGCCAGGAAGGGAACACTAGGAAAGCGAGAAGACGGTTGTAAAAAGTAAAGCCCATGGATCTCAAGACAAAACCCAGACTGGGCTCCCCCTTTTCAGGCCCCACTGTAAACTGACCCAGAGCAGAAAGCAGCCTGATCACTACTCTGGATTAAGGTCTGGCTACCACAAAGTCCACATTACAAGTTACAAGGAAAGACAGGGGAAATGGAGCAAAGTCAAGGCTGAAAATCACCTTCAGCAGTAACCCAGAAACACCTGAGGGAAGTAAGGCTTTTCCAACCACACAGTCCTAGAAACCTACAATATTAATCATTTTGGGGGTTGAGGAGAAACGAAACCACATCTTAGCTATGTTCAGAGAGACTTCACAACCCAAAAAATGACTACGGGTCATAGAAACCTCTGATATTCTAAAACCTAATCTAGAGTGGCATCTGCTTTAAACCGGTTGCCGCCAAGTTGGAATCGACTCATTCCAGTCGACTCTTAGGAACCCCATGTGTATCAGAGTAGAACTGTGCTCCACAGGGTTTTCAATGGCTGATTTTTCTGAAGTAGATCCCCAGGCCTTTGTTCCCAGAGACCTCTGAGTAAACCTGAACCTCCAACCTTTCAGTTGTCAGCTGAGCATGTTAACTATTTGCACCTGTCTGCTTTAATGAACTACCTTATCAGCTGATGCACGGCAACATAAGTACCCCCTCGCTGTTCCACTTATAGCCAGCAGGCCCCTGATGACAAAGAACAGTACCTGTGTGGGGAGAACACCAGCCTGGTGACACACTGGGTGTGCACAGCTGAGCTAAGGGCATAACTTGCATTCTTCGTGTCCACAAGGGAGACAGTCCCATTCTCATCACCTACAGAAAAGTGAGACCAACACAGTGGTTAAGAGCATGGACTTTGGAGTCAGCCAAACCTGGATTTGAATCCTGGTTCCTCAATCTTGGACCAGTTAACCACTCTGAGCTTTAGCTTCCTCTTTTGTAAAGCAGGAATAACTAGTTATTGGGTGGTTGTGAGGATTAAATGAAAGGATGAGATAGTTATTATTTTAACCACAAATTATATCACCACTTTCATAGCCTCATCGCCATGACAGCACTGCAACTACCCATAGAGAAATAATCATTGCTATATCCAAGGAGATATAGTAATCTACAGTAAAACCTGTGGAAGTCACAACACGTGTAAGGCGGAAACTCTCCGGAAAGGAAAACTCAAATAGTTTCCACTAACAAACAGCAACAGAAAAGTGGTAAGACTGCACCCTGTCAGAGGCAGAAAACTTAGGAGACCTGGGAAAACAAGGCAGTCCCATTGAGTTCTGGCTGTCACAGGTTTTACTGTATTTGCTTTGTGGCTCACTGACTTCTAACCATGCGTGGAATACAGGAGTCAGTGTGAACAATCAGGAAAGGAAATCAGCTGGGAAAAAAATCATCATGCTCTCCAAAGCTAAACTAAAATTACTTTTGGATCATCCCTATCTCCTCACTCCTCCATTAGCATAACTCATCAAGTGCCCAAGTGTGCTGATAACTTTCACAGCCAGATCCTCGTGCACTATGGATATATATACATATATAGAGCTCCTTCTGTCTCATCCTCCCCTTTCCCAGAGTCAATATGGAGTCTGATATGAAGTCTTACCAAAGACAAAGGCTTCACTTTGCTGGGGATGCCAAGCCAGTGAGGTAGGAAGGTAGATAGAGGCATTACAGCCTGTAAAGGAGAAAAACAAGGGTCTGGGCCAAGACTCACAGAGTCCAGAGAGGGAAGCTTCTCCAATGAACTCACTTAAAGTCCTGGGAACACCTTTATTTAATTTCCCAAATCTTAAGTCAGGCCATCCTGTGCTCATCCTTGAGCTTCATAGCCTACATTTACCCATTAGCCTCCTGTCCTTTCTGGACATATAAGTCATAGGCAAGTTTCAAGCACAATCACGAAGATGAGAACTCTGGTCCCCTTGCCCACTCATTTAACGAAGAACTCATCCACCGAGGAACCATGCCTTCCTCTTAGTAACTGATACACAAAATGGAGTTATCAGAGCTTCAGTGGGAAAAGAGATTATGTCCCTACGTCACAGTGAGTGGGCATCTGGTAACTTTGCCTTTGACTCTGGCCAAAAAAGCCTCTTCTAGGTGGGTTCCTAGCACCACCATCCTCCCACCACTGGCTCTCAGACTCACCAATCTGTGATGCTGGCTTGGGACAGCGAGTATCCCAGAGTAAAATTCTACTGTCCTAGAAGAATAAACAGGGGAAAAAGGTGGGGTGGGTTTCACAATCCAAAAAAGCAGATGCTGCCCAGGAGGTCTCCACTAGACACTCAAGTAGTCTTTGGCCTTTGGAGAGCTTGGGTGTGGTTAAGGAGTGGGAAGGGAAGGGGAAGAAGCTGTCTCACCTCACTACATGACAGAAACATGGAGTCCTTGTGGGGAGAGGCAGCAACACAGGTGACCTGCCCAGAGTGAGCTGTAACAGAGAGAGAAGAGAAACATGACAGAGAGGAGGCTGGGGACATTATAAAAAAAGGTGAGTTCACATACCATCAAGGGGCAGGAGAGGAGATGTGAGAAATAGGCCTGGCTTCACGGTTCAATTTAACAAATTTCTTGAGAGATTATTAAGACAAAACCTAAAGGTTGATGGGTAGGAGTCATAACACCTACAAAGACTTGGGGAATAAAGGTGATAAAGAAGAAATGAGGAGCTGATTAACAGTGAAAGGGGTTATATTTAGCCCCCTTGATGGAGAGGTTAAACAATTCTAGAATAGCAGTTTTCATACTGGAGTACACACACCTCCAGGTAATATACAAAAACATTTCAGGTGGTTCCTGGATGCTGAAAGTTTTAAAGAAATTGGTTTCTCAAATGTTCTTTCCTTAAATTGAATTGAGAAAGTGCCCGCCATCTGCCAGTTCTTTTTTCCTACCTCTACTTTCACAATCACCCCTCACCCACTTTACAGAAGGAACTTAGACCTCTCATCCATCCCACAACTTACCTTGGTGCAACACTTAGAGGTATAAAAACCTAAGGGCTCCAAACTAAGGGACTAAAGGGGCTTGTCCCCAGGAGCCAAAGAGCAAAACCAAGAGCTTCTAGATAAGAAACACGGAGGGGGATGGACCTTGTTTCATGCACAACACAAACACAAGTGTGGCTCTGTGACTTAATCTATTTCTGTCTAATAATGAGAATTTAAAACTATGATAGATGGTTGTCATAAGGACACATCCAACAAGTTTATTTGAATTTAAAAATGAAGTCAGACTTTTTCTAACAGAAAGTTAAGTCTAACTTGGCCAACTGGTTTCACAGTGAGGATTTAGGTTATTTGGTAGATATTTTGCATAAATTAAATGGGCTGAATCTGCAAATCCAAAGTTTTGACACAAATATGCTTTACACAAGTATGTAATAAATAAGTATCAGAAATGACCTCCTTTGCAACTATTTAAACTTAAAACCTTTTAGATATCAATTTCAACACGTGTGAGGGGATACAATTATTCAAAATTCTTTTAATTAAAAAAATTCCAAAGATTACTGCTATATGTTAATCACCGGAAACCAGTTTTTCTGAAGTCATTTAACCAGACTTTCCGAGGTAGACTGAAAGCAGTTCTGCCCCAAGGCAGAAGGATGGGATTCAACCATCCTCCACAGTTCTCTCCTAGTACTAGAATCCATGGAGAGCCAACATGATGAAAAACCAGGGAAGGATTATTGCTCATTGAAAAAAGCAAAGCTTTCAGATAAGCACCAAAGGTGAACATAAAAAATGAAGAACACATGGTTCTGTCTTCAAGGGATTTAGAATTCGGTTGAGGGAATAAGATATAACACAGTAAAATGGCACAATCACTGTGGAAAACTGTATGGCACCTCCTTAAAAAGTTAGAAACAGAGATATCATATGATCCAGCAATCCCACTACCAGATATACATTCTAGAGAAATAAGAGCCGTAATATAAATAGATATATACAAACTCATGTTCATCGCAGCATTATTCACAATAGCAAAAAGATGGAAACAACCTAAGTGCCCATCAACAGATGAATGGATAAACAAACTACTGTACATACACATAATGGAATACTATGCAACGTTAAAGAATAACGATGAATCTGCTAAACATCTGACATGGATGAACCTTGAAGACCTTATGCTAAGTCAAATAAGCCAATCAAAAAAGGACAAATATAGCATGAGACCACTATTACAAAAAGCCAAGGCAAGGAGAGATACATGCAGAGGTCCTCTATCAGCTAACACAGCACAGACCCACCATCTTGGACTCCTATCAGAGACCAGCGAACAGGTGTACAAGAAACCAGCTTCACAGAGCTTCCAGCAGGAGACAGAACAACTGGTAACCAGCGATATACACTTTCCCAGCCCCTACTCTTCTTCACCCCCACTCAGCCTCCTCTGCTTCCTGCGGCCAGTCTCTTGGCCGGGAAGCACTGGCTTCACCCTGGTGTCACATGGATTCCACCCACCCACACTGGCCAACTCCCTAAGTGTCATTTGTTGGCTGCTGGTGTTGTTTTCCACTTCTTTAAGATTTCTTCCTTACCTCTCACCACCTCCCTCTCCTTTCTCTCAAATATGTGGCTCTGTGTGCCATCTTTGTTTCTTAATGAAAGGCTGTGAAATGCTGCTCGAATGTGAGACTGCTTCCTGGCCCATGCGGTCAAGCTGGAGGGATCCTGGGGCTTTTTTGTTTATTTCTTTTAAAGTGTTTGTTTCCTGTTTTTCTCAAATCAGGAGCCTGTTCTACCGGGCAGCACTACACGGCTTGGGACCGTGCAGAGGGATCCCTGAGAGCATTTCTTTCTTCTTCTTTTTTTTTTTTCCCTGCTTTTATTGGGGGGTTTTCTTGTTCTCATCTTTTTTTCATTGTTTCTTTTGTTTTCTCTTCTCTTTTTGTCTTTTTTCATTACTCACTTTCCCGTCTCTCTATACTTTCCCTCTCTTTCTGTCCCCAGAATAACTGGTGCTGAGTGACACCTCTACCCCTTGTAGCCAGGCTATATATCATGCCCTGGGAGCAACTTCCACAGACCTCACAGCCACACCAGTGGGATCCCTGGGAGCTTTTTTCCCCCTAACTTTTATTTATTCATTTTTTCCTTTTCTTTCTTCTTCTTCTCCTTTTTGTTTTTCTCCATTTCATAGTCTCTCATCTCTCCACTCCAATGGCAAGCTCCCCTAGCACTCTGTTTTGTTTGTTTGTATGTTTTTGGTTCCTGTTCCTCTCTCCTCTTTCACCTCTCTACCACACCCATCTAAGCTCCACACATCACAACTGCACCCCTCCATCCTGCCAACCTGCACTGTGCGCTGAAAATCACACCACCAAGTAGCCCAGGCACGGCCTACCTGCCCTGCACTGATTACCAGCCTGCTCTGGTGGCCATAGTAAGCACCACAAACAACCCATCCCAGCAACTCCTCTTCAGCTAGACCTGACGTGCTGTACCATAACTGAGCGACCGACCCTGCAAACTGGAGAAGGAGGCGAAAAGTATCGTGCCCACATACGAGTAAACAAATAACACACCACACACCTGCTCAGACGTAGCCAAATAAAACAAAAAAGCAGGACGAAACAAACAAATCTACCATCAATAAATGAGAAAAATAACTACCAAATGCCCAGAAGACAACAGACAATATCAAAACTTTTATAAAAACAGGACAGGATAGTTCCAGTAGGCATCCAAAATAAAACACCACATGACTTTCCAGTAGAAGAAAACGCACTAGAAATACCTGATAGAGAATCATATCTCTAATACTCAGAGCTATCCAAGAATTGAAGTAAAAAGCAGACAAAAATGAGGAAAAATAGACAAATTCATGGAAAAGGCAGACAAATTCATGGAAAATACAGACAAAAAATCAAAGAATTCAGGAAAATAATGCAGGAACAAAATGCCAAAATAAATTAACAACTAGAAATCATACAAAAATAACAATTAGAAATCCAAAAGATAAAAAACAGGATTTCAGAAATGGACAGTGGCATGGAAGGGCTGAGGAGCCGGTTTGAAACAGAGGAAGAAAGGATCAGCGAAATTGAAGACAAACACCTGGCTACAACTCTGAGGAAAAATCACAAAAAAAAAGAAAAGAAAAATGAAGAGACCTTGAGAATTATGTGGGATACAATCAAAAGCAAAAACCTGTGAGTGATCACAGTTCCAGAACAGGGGGAGAAAACAGAAAATACAGAGGATCACTGAAGAACTGCTGACAGAAAACTTCCCCAATATCATGAAAGATGAAAAGCTGGCCATCCAAGAAGCTCAACGACACCCCAAAAGAAAATAACAAGACATATCATAATCACACTCGACAAAACTAAAGACAAAGAATCCTGAGAGCAGCTCAAGAAAAACAAGAAGTCACATAAACAGGAGAAACAATAAGACTAAGCTCAGATTATTTGGCAGAACCCATGCAGGCAAGAAGGCAATGGGATGACATAGATAAAACCTTGAAAGAAAAAATTGCCAGCCAAGAATAATATATCCTGCAAACCTCTCATTCAAATATGATGGTGAAATTAAGACATTTCCAGATCAACAGAAGTTAAGGAAATGTGTAAAAACGAAACCAAGCTTACAAGAATTATTAAAGGGAATCCATTGATCTGAGAACAAACAACTTCAGCTCACAGGCTGAATCTAGGATGCAGGATCGTACCAGCCAGATACTAATCTAGGAAATGAACTCTCAAGGCCTATCCAAAACCAAAAGAAACACAACAGGGAATCACAGCAGTTAATCTGTAAATGACAACAACATCAGAACAATAAAAGAGAGAATAAATGGTGTAGATATAAAACCTTTTAATGGAGAGGAAGGCAAAGCGATACCAAGTAATAATAGACTGCTTCAAACTTAGAAAAATAAGGGTAAATTTTATGGTAACCACAAAGAAAGTTAAAAAACCTAATCATCAAAATAAAGAGGAAAAACATAAAGTCTCAATAAAAAACAAAACCTACAAAAACAAAAGAAATGAGAAAAACACCACAAACAAAAGGAATTCAGCATTAAGAGAGAAAGAGGAACAAAGAAAACGTCAGCACCACAAAAAAAAGCACTACAAAACGACAGCAATAAACTCACATCTATCAATAATTACACTTAATATAAACGGCCTAAACATGCCCATAAAGAGACAGATAGTGACAGAATGGATAAAAAAAAAACAGGACCCATCAATATGCTGTCTACAGGAGACACACCTTAGAAACAAAGATGTAAATTTATTAAAACTCAATGGTTGGAAAAAATATATCAAGCAAACAACTACCAAAAAAGAGCAGGAGTGGCAATACTAATCTCAGATAAAACAGACTTTAAAACAAAATCCACCATAAAAGCCAAAATAGGACACTATATAATGATTAAGG